ATATATGGTTAAAAATTGTGAATCCTATAAAATATGTAATTAAAATTAATTATTGACTTTAATTTTAATTTCTACCAAGAACTAAAAATCTAATGTTTAACTAAGCGAAATTGGGCCAACTTTCATCTGTTATACAATCTTGCTAGGGAGGATTGCGCCATTAGTCCTTAATTTATTGCTTTAGTAGTAAGTCAGTTTTCAATTGTGTGAAGTCTGTAGATTGATCTCTAAATAATGTTGTCAGAATAGGATTGGATAGGCCAATTCAATATAAAAAAAAATTAAAGAATCGAAACTCATCTAGTTTTGGGTAAAAAGTTGGGAAAAAGAAACTTTTTAATCCAAATAAAGAGCCAATTAGTTCGCACCTTGAAATAATTTTCTACCATTTGTTTGACCTTTGACTCTGTCTTTTTCGATGATATGTCCTAGTTGACATTTGAAACATCGTGTCGTGTCTAACATTTTGTTCTAATTGCACAAATAGCCTCATGACGGAAATTATTCAAATATTTGTGTGATCCTCACACATACAATCTTATGATCTCATTCTTCTATTCATTTTTAATTACGCATTTTTTAATAAAATAATATTTTTCATCACATCAATAACTTATCCTTCTTTTTCAACCACATACCCGCATCACATCAACAGTAAAAATGCACTATTTTTCACCAAATGAGGGTTTGAACTCTTTTTTTACATTATCATTTTTAATCATACATTTACACAGTAAAATATTTTGCGTGTAAACTCAATATTTTTTCTACTTTTTAACCACACATTTTTCAAAAAATCACTATTTAAAACTCCATTTTACCCAAATATAATTGTCAAACAGGGGCTAAGTTTTGCTTCTTTTACATGGACGTCTAGAAATTTGAAGTGAAAAGGAGTCATGTAATGTTTTATAGAAACTTTGAATATTTTTTGTCGTTAGGATTAGTTGAGCAATTGTAATAACAAGATAGAAACTAGTTTGCTAATTTTAAATACTTGAACCAAATTGTTAATGAGATAATAAGTTGGGGACCGTTAGTGTAATTTTCTTTTGTTCTTCAGCTTACGCGATTTCCATCTCTCTCACGTCGTGGCTTGCCATTGTTTCTGGCAACCTTTATTTAAAAAGATAAAAGTAGCTGCAAAAAAATAAAAAAATTTGACAATGTGAGTCAGCGTTATTAAATATTAATATTATTTATATTAAGTTAAGTAAAGTGAAAACTAGCTGGAAAATAAAAGTGAAAAATTGTCCGGCCTTATTTCATAGAAAAGATCGAAAATTGATTGAAATGGTCAAATCTCGATTAGAAACATATTTGATTTTGAATATTTCACATTGGAAAAGAAAACTATCTTGGATATTGCCTTACTAACGATTACTACAGCATTATTATTTTCAGGTTCTAACTCAATCTCGGCACCATTTCGGAGTCAATTTCCTGAAATCGGAATCACACTTTTCAACAAGTCAAATAATCTTATAGCCAAACTGCTTTGCTTTAGTGAAGATTGTGTAAAATGAATTTGGAGCCTGGTGGGAGGATTTCCCTCTTGAAAATCTGTTCAATAGCTTTACATTCTTCATCAGTGTATGTTCCTGTTGTTTTCCAGCTACACAATTTTCTGCAACTTTCCCCGAGTATTGTTGGCAAAGGCAAGATCATAGCCACACGAGAATTTTCACTATAGCCTAGTCAATGAAATCATTTGGAGAAGAAGCCTAACTTATGAAACACTAGTGAGCGTACGTGCAAGGCACGTGCCTAGCATAGTTGGCTACGTAATAGTGTTGACTGATTTTTGATTTTTTTTGAAGATATCACTAATTAAATCTTATTTAGCAAAACTTCTCCA